ACTATAAATTATAAATATATTACATATTATTAAATATATATTAAATTTATTTAAAAATTAAATACAGTATCTGAGATTTAAATACAAAGAACCTAACCTCAAAGCATTGTCTGGGCCTAAGAGCTAGTAATAAACTAAAAAGGCAAGAATATTTAATTTTTATTAGTTATTATAAACTATATATATTGATGACAATACATATATTTTTTGAAAATTAATGGCATTACAAAATTTAAAAACTGCTTCTAATACATTTAGCATTAGTGAAAATGAATTACAAGAATATAGTAAAACAAATGAAACAAATAAATTAAGCCAATTACTTGCAAAATGCAGAAATATTAGTAGTAAAAAGCAAAAAGATATTTGGTCTTATGTTAATCAAGCTATTAGTTTAGGTTAGGAACATTATAAAGCTAGTTGTAAATATTGTCCTGTTTTATAGAAAAGAGGTCAACTTAATGATATGCATTTGCTTAACAATGTTTAAATGTTTCTAATAAAATTAAATATTTTTTAAAGAAATTTTATTACTGAAGAAATAACTTCAATATGAAAAAAAACAAACCATAATCAATCTGAAATTATAATTCATTTTCTAACAATTGAACCACTTTCTAAAACACAAGTAGAATTTTTAAATAAAGCTATTTTAAAAGCTTGGATTATATGTAATTTTTCTTTTGAAACTGTAGAGAATCCTTTATAATTGATTTGTTTCAACTTGCAATTTCTGGATATGAACTTTCATCTTATGATAGGCTTTCTGGTCATTTTTTAGACCAAGAAGTTTTAAGAATTGATAAATAAATCAATAATGATCTAGAAAAAGAAGAATATCTTACTTTATATATGCAATATAAATTTTTTTTAAAAACTATATAGTAATTAATAATAAATTAAAATTTAAAAAAAAAATTTTTAAGAGATGGGGTCCCGTAGCCTAGTGGTCTAGGTGCCCCTCCCTTCACAGACAAGGTTGACAGTTCAATTCTAGTTGGAGGCAAAACTCTGTAATCTACAGAAGCATATGAATGTACACGAAGCCCTGTGGCTTAAGTCTATATAAATAGAAGATCAGTATATAAAAAAGTTCTTAGAAAGAAGTTTCCTAATATGGAGAGTTGGCACTCGATGCGAGAGAAGCGGTGAACGTACCAGAAATGAAGAGAAGGCGCACTAGCAAGTGATACAGTGAACATAAAAGAAAACTATAGGAAAGAAATAAACTTACTGAAACTTGAACACCTTTGGCACCAAAACTGGTTTAGTGGATATGGGATACACTAATACAGATAAAATCTAAGAGGGGTAATCTTGGTACTATACTTAGTAAGTCTGTGTCGAGAGTAAATTTGAAGGACTATGGATACTTGGTAACATCCAATAAGATGGTACCTTGATATAAATAGTAATTAGATAGCCCTAACCTAGTATATCCATGTAGTAATGGAAGGTTGTAATGCATAGGATTGAAAATTAGAAAGTTTAAATAGAGGATTCACAGGCAGATCTCAGGTATAGTAGATAGTAGGTAATTCTTGATGGAACTCTTAATTAGATAATAACTAAAGTTATACATGTAGCTAGTTATACTTTCATTGATAAACTATGTATTCATTAATAACTAGATATTACTCAATAAAAGACAGACAGGCAAGATTGCCACTTATAATACAAAAAAAAAAAAAAAATTTTTATTGTATTAATAATAGCTCTTAACAGATAAACATCACCTGCTTATGATTAAATTTAGAACTTTATTATCACTATATCTAAGCATAAGGAATATCTTTAAAAAGTATAACAAAGTCAGTCATATAGGAAAGTATATGACTAGCAACTCTTTTTGCAGATCACTTATACCAAATTTTTGCTAAAAACATTTAACCATTACTGCTCATTTACTAAGTTAACCTTACTTGTACTCTTAAATAAAGTTGCTTAGAACACTTTTTTGCTCATAGGCAGTCAAGTTTTAAGTTCCAACAATACCTGACCATTGAGAAAAGTTACAAAAACCAACTTTTTAGTTTTTGCTTATTTTCTTAAAACTTTATTAATTAAATATACTTTGTTCATTATTAGTTATTTACTTAGCTCATTAAGACAAACATTTTGATATATATTTTATCCAAAATAGATAAAAACTTATCAAGTTATTTTCAAAAAGACAAAACCTAAAACCTGTCTTTGTAAGTTTTTTCATAGGCAATTTAGGAAAATTTGCAGGAGTGTACCAGAAATTTTACTTTTTTGGTACCCATTAAAATTTCCTAAGCATCTAATTACCTTTTCTAACAACCTTGCACTTTTCAAATTTCTCTTAACTAAACTAGAAATTACAAAATAGAAAAAATTATTCTAAAAAACCTAATTCGAAAAACTCTTTATGTAACCTAATTTTAGTTATTATTATAGGTTAAATAAGGATATCTAAGCTGCATTAGCCATATAAGCCACAGTAACATTTCTACAAACACATTACTCTTGTAGTAATATTATTATCTTAAAAAACAAAAGATTTTAAGTAATTTTAAACAAAATAAAATTACATTATGCCAACTCTTGTAACTGCTGACCCTGATCCTATTAATCTTGACTACTTTTATGAAAACTTTTCTAAAAGTTTTGGCATTGGAGTCTATGAAGAAACTCTACTAACTTCTCATTCAATTCCTACTAAAAAAGAACCTAACAACTGTTTTAACATCAAGCTTAAAGGCAATAGTAAATGTTATTATTATTTTAAAACACCTACAACTAGCAGTATAATTACTTGTCTTTGTGGCAAGTTCTATACTAACTTTATTTTTCAAAAAAACTTAACCTATAAACAAAACTCAACTGGACAACCTACCAAAAAATTAAAAGACAAAAAATCACTTGCAAATACTATTGCAAATTCTACAGAATTTATCCTACTATCTTCTACCTCTTCTTCTTCACCATCTATTCATCAACACATCTGTCCTACTTGTAACTAATCTATTACCTGCAAACTAACTAACAACAAACATTATTTAGCAAATAATGCTTTGCTTTTTAATAACAAACCATATCATAAATCTTGTATTAAAAACCAACTTAATTCCCAACAAGATTCTTCAAAAAAAACTCAACAAAAATCTTCTAGCAATACTAAACCATATCATAAATCTTGTATTAAAAACCAACTTAATTTCCAACAAGATTCTTCAAAAAAAACTCACCAAAAATCTTCTAGCAATACTACTTTATTTGCTAATAAACTTCGACAAACACTTACCAAACAACAATCTCAAAATCCAATTACTAAACAACAAACTCAAAACCCACTTACTCTTTAACTTGATTCTCTTATACCACTTAATGATAACTAAAATAATGAAGATAAAGATATGGATATCAATGACACTACAACAACTAAAAAACAATAATAACAACAACATCAACAATAACAATAACAGCAGCAACAACAACAACAGAAGCAGCAACAATCTCAACAAAACCAACCTCCACCTTCTAATACTAAAACTAAAATCAATTCAACATTTGACTGATTAAGCAACTTCCCAATTACAACTGCAATGAAAACCAATACTAAATTACAAACTCAATTATTCCAAGACCTGTTCAATTTTTTTAAACAACATCTCTTTAACTTTTATTCAAGAAAAGAGATTAAACCTGCTACTAAAACCAAAAAAGCTCTTACAGCTAGCTTCTATCATATTATTTGTCAAATGGCTAGAGCCAGACCCAAATTTCTTTCTGTAATTATCTTCAAATCCAATTCCAAAATTGACCAAGAAGTTACAATTCCTTTTAATGTTCTTAAAGGGAGTCTCAAAAAACTTATTCTTAAATTTACCACTATTTTATTTACCAAACTTAATTACCTTGAAATTTTCACATCTTCTGTCACTGTTTTTCATACAAAACCCAAAACTGACTACAATTCTGTATTAATCTTGCCAGAATATATTATATCTTTCTGACAACTACCAAGCCATTAACTATATATAATTTGCAGAAGACATTAAACTAAGACCTAAAAGGTTTACTGTTACCTCATCTGTAACAGAAACAAATAAAAAAACCAAATACCTACCAATTAAAATAGATAATAAATTTAATATTCACCTTCTTTTTAATATTTCTAAAACTCTTTTCTTTGAAAAATATAACATTCCATCTCTTAATAACTCTTTAGATCATTTTAATAAATGGTTTAAAAATTTTTTCTTTTATATAATCATCAATTTACTAAACCTCTTAATGAAACCAAAGTCAAAAATGCATTAAGATTTCAATTCTGACAACAATTTATTAAATATCTCAAAGAACTCCTTCCTGATAAAATTTTTTTCACAGAACCTCATAACCTTCAAGAATAACATAATGAAGCTATTCAACATACCAACTATTATATTTATACCTGTACTAATTCAAACTGCATGCACCTTAATAAAACCAAACTTAAAGCAAATGAAAAAGCAAAAGAAACCATACCTACCACCAACTATTTAGACTATTAATATTTATACAACTACAATAGTCTTCTTAAAAAAACAATTAACAAATCCTACTTAGAATATCCCAAAACATAAAGCAAAATTTGGAAACAACCTAAAATTGACTTCTCAATCTTTTACATTAATGGTAAACATGAAGCTACCTTTAAAAAACAAATATCTACACAACTCCTTGATGATCTTGTCACAAAAGCTAAAGAATTTATTTGCTCAAATAATTTAACTAAGCCAAATTCTAAATGAAAAAGCTATTACTTTTATTAATATTTTAAAACCTACTAAGATATAACTGCACAAAATTATAACCTTGACCAACTTAGTTAACAGCAAGCTATTGACTTTCTTACAACCAAAATTATTGATACAAATTTCTTAGCTCAAGTTATTACTTACTTTGATACTAGTGACATTTCTATAAATTTTCTAGAAATTGTCAAATACTATTAAGAAAAGGCATATTCAGAGGCAGAAAAAACTTTACAAACTAAATTTAACTTATACTTCCAAGAACCAACAAACTTGGAAGATTCACTCTTCCTTACAGATACTTCTTTTCAATAAATTCTTCTATAGATCACATTAATGCAGCCATTACCTTTAAGATTATGATGTCTTCTACTTCTAGTAAGCCATTCTTAAAGGAGAATAATGTAAGTAGACAGGTGGTAAAGTCTATTTACATAGAGAACCAAGTTTATAATGGCCAGACTCAATTTACAAAGCAGGCTATGGGACTCTTTGCAGCTGTGAGAGCTAAACATATAGTGATCAAATCTACAGAAGAACTTTTTACTTTCTTGAATTCTATTGCATCATTACACTTCAAGAAAACACCACAAGACCTATTATACAATACATTAGTTGATCCAAACTCATGCTATAACAA